GTCTGGGCATCTTTGCTTAGACTGCTGCCCCCGCGACCCGGTTCCGGATAAGCGGAGGAAAATGGATGGATATATATAGGTTTCCTTAGAAATTACATAACTTCAAATTTAGCTTGTATGTTTGAGAGAATTCTCTCATGCACCGTTTTAAAGGATAAGGTCGGTTATTTCTAACAATCCCCACACAGACTAAAAGCAGCAATGAGTGGCTTCTACTCAAGGTTAATAATGCCTGTTAGTCTCCCCCCTGGATTAGCTTATTTGTCTGTGCCATAGACTGTTGTTGGTTAAAAACGTATGTGAAACACCACTGCACTGGGTGACTTGTTTCTTCATTATGAAATGCCAGACCTATATACTTGTTCAAAATGTCCAAAAGCTTCAAATGACCACAACTTTTACAGTATCTTAAGTAGCAAGACTCAACCGCACGTGTGAGATCTGCATAATAGCAGAGCTGTCAGACTGTAAAACAAAGCAGAGAGCAGTCACTGCTTCAGAAGCTGTAAAAAGTAAGTCGTAGGGAGCAACATTTTTGACATATGTGGGTCTGTTTTTTCACAGATGTTTTTAATAGTTTAACAACAAAGGTCTATGGCACAGACTAGGACTGGGTATCATTCACAAATTTTTGATACCGGTACCTTGACTTCAATACTGGTTCGTAAATTTTCTTTCTTGCCAATTTTATAAAATCAATTTTAACAAACAAAAAATGTGTGTATGTGTGCATGTGCACTCAAAGCAGTTTCATAACGTAAAAAGTAAACCTATTTACGACAACCTTAAGGTCTGTTAACATAAACATCAATAAATAAAAATGTAGAAAAGCTTCTTTTTTTTTTCCAAAACTCGGGTATTGCAGTAATTTGATTGATGCAATAAAAGTATTGAAGTTTGATATGCAGCACAAGCACAGACAGGTTGGAAAAACTAACAGACATTAACTGTGAGTAGCTGCAATTCACTGTTGTTTTTAGTCTTTGTATGGGGATTGAAAATACTATTAATATAGAAAATCACCAACCTTATCCTTTGACGTTTGGCCACTTGGATGATATAATACTTCACAGATTGAAATCAGATTTTAGCAAATTCCAAATTTGGAATATTGTATAGAGTTTAACAATACAATTTTTTTTTAAACCTTCAGCCTTATTTTAAATTGTCTACAACTAGAATTTCAAGAATATAGTATGCTCCAGATAGATTGTATTTAAAAATGTTTCTAGTTGACATATCTAGTGCTTAAGGTTCTGACTAACCTGTCCTCTCTACGCAGGTGTGTTTCGTGGAGGTCATGACACGCTTTGTCGTGCTCGCCTGGCTCTGGCAGATGGTGTCACCATGCAGGTGACGGTGCGCAGCACAGAAGAAACGATTGTTGACATCATCCTGGCCGCTGTAGGCTGATGTGCTCAAGCTGACACCTTTCATGCCTGCATGACAAAATGGTCTGACACCCCCCACCAAATGTAATGATGCTATTATGCTTACACCATCCCAACTGGATAACATTTGATTACTTCTAGTGTGTAAACTAAAGTGTTTCCATGCTTTCTTTATACTATCTGCTGGTCCTCCTGTTTCTTTGCAGAAAAAAGTCCAATAAAATGACAAAGCACATCATTTGATTTAAGATGTTTTTTCTTACAAAACTAGTTTATTTGAAAGTTGACATTCAGTTTTGTCATCGACAAGGGAAATGTATAAAATGATATCAAAATTCATTCAGAATACCGCTGATGGCTAAACTCGAAATGGAGGGACTCAAATCTGTGTCCCACGGGTAAATTCAATAATCACACAAACTAACTTATGGAGGTAGATCCCTGTCAAAATGTTTGAGGACATTAACCACAGATGCAGCACTAATCAGTTTGCACCTCTGATTTGTAAGAGTGTGCAGGCATATATATTTGTTAATGGCAGAATCAGATCTGACAGCTTAATCCTGACCCTGCTTGTTTCTGGGCCTGCACTCAGATTTCTCACTGGCTTTTTTGTGAAAGTCTGCCGGTGCCAGTTTTGAATGCTATTCATTTTGCAAAATCATTATTCGAGAGCACGCAGGCATGGTTTTTGTAAGAGCAGATACAGAGCTGTAAGACAGAATCGTGAGCGACTCCTTCACACCCAACTATGATTCAGCTCTTACAAATCCCTGCCTACACACTCTCAAATTCTGATTTGCAAACTGAGTAGCACTCGACACTTGTTTTGTGTGGTCTACAGTGCACACAAAACACAGTGGAGAAATCAGAGTGCAGACAGAAATGAGGGCACGCATCGCAGAGATTATATACACTTGGATCTGACTCTGCTTACAAATATGCCTGTGCCCTCAAACATTGGCCGGGGATGTACTAACATTTGATCATCACTTGAACATGGCAGTTCAGAAAGAGTGAATAAAATTGAAGTAGGCATTAAGGAAGCTGGTGGGATCTTCCAGCTGAGGGTAGTGGCTGATGTGTTCATCCAGAATGGTGACTGTCGACCTCTGGACAAGTTGCCTGCAGGGACAAGATTCATCATTTAAACAGGATTAGTGACACACAAAAGTACCATCAAGTGTTTTCAGACAAGTCGGTTCAGGAATGAGATGTGTTAATGCATAGGCATGTTAACATGCACACGTGATATGTAAACTGCTTTCAGTCTAGAGGTCCTGCATTTCACACTTCTGAACCGCCGACCGGAGGGTAACGGTATGAACAGTCCGTGCTGGGGCACTCAAATAATCAGTATTAGAGAGTGTTTAATCCCGGCCGTGCGTGCACTCATTTCTGAATATGTGCTCACATAAAACCCGTTGGAGAAATCAGAGTGCAGACTCAGAAATGAGTGCACACATGGCCAGGATTATACACTCTTGAATGAGCTAAGGTCACGTGTGAGGAGACATATGTAATCAATGAAAAATACAGTTCAGGTTCTCTGAGAAGACCACCCTTTTCTTTACAGTTCACTGAGCTGATGGGAGATCTGCCAGCAGTTTTAACACATAATGTGAACTGATTTAACTAAGGGAGGCAGGGGGCGCTCACCGGTAAAGAGGGATGAACTGGGGATGAGGATTGACTGGGTCCAGGGGTCCATAAATCATATGCACTGAAAGGAAAGCATCACAAGAGGGGGGGCGGGGGGCAAGAGTAGATAAAGAATGGGTCAGCACTCTTATGGAAGCTCTTTATTCAACTTAAATGATGTTTAACTGTTATTTTGCCTGGTAGAGGGGGTTTCAGGTCATAAAGGTTCAGGCCCACCATTTTCCAACCCTAACATAGCCTAAGATGCACATACAGTGATTTCACAGACATCATTACCTGGGACACTATTCGCAAACCCCAACCATCATACTATACACAAATCACAAAATGTCTCCACTCTGGCCTTACTACAAAGCATCTGATACTCACCCTCACCCAAGCACTCCTTCATTAATATCTACTCTCTTAATAATTTATCAAAGCAGCCAGTCAAGCCCCATATTAAAAAACAGTAACTAAGCCCACTGGCTCTGGCTCCAGTGGCTGAGAAACGAAGCCAAAAGCTGCAGCTCCTCGAAAGGCCGCTTGAGACTGGCTTCAAAATGGAGTCACTCCTCAGACTGCCATGTTAAACTGCCCAACTTTACAGCAGAAATAAACATGTTTACAGCTTAGTACAAAAATGGTTTTGGTCCCTATAGATAATTATCCCTTCCATCACAATTTTTCGGAGAGTGAATTTTTAATGACGCACCCGTTTAAATTATATTAAGACTAAAAGTTATATACAACTAAGGGCGTGGCCGTTTTCAGTGACAGGTGGGCGGGTCCCGTCATAGGTGGGTGGCCTAGAGGTGGAGATAGCTCCACTCAAGCCCCGCCTCTTTGCCCATTTTTGGATTAGACCTAGCATGCAGGGTGAAGCACTACCAATCTGGTGACGGTCAGACTTGACTCTTCAGCATAGCACTTTCAGAAAACCAATGGGTGACATCACAGTGGGTTTGTCTGGTTTTTATATATTCAGTGGTTGACAATCCCTCATACAAACCAAACTTCATCTATAACCTCATGTTACCATGCTCATGCTAACACAAGAGTAAGCCTCAAACCTGCAGCATGTGTCAGACATTTTGCTAAAAAGCTCATCCTCGTGTGCTATTTTACCTCAGCTTAACAGGCAGTCAGCACATGTTGTCGTTTATTTAATCCATTTACCAACCTGTACCCTAGTAACACCTTTCTCCTCCTCTAGAGCCATCTCACTAGACAAGCTGTTGACTGGGCCTTAGGCTCTGAGCGCCCATTGAGTGGGCAGACCTTATCTTTCAGCCATGCTCCTCTGCCTCATTTGCTAACTGGATGTTTTACTTTATTCCTCCCATAGGCCATTTCTACAGTGTCCTAATCTACTCAGTTTAAAATACTTCATGTCTTTCAATTAACATATTTTATATACATTTTGTACTATAATCTTTTCTTTAAAAGACTAAATACATATATGTGCTTAAGCTGTGGTGGTTTGTGCTAAATCCTAACAATGCCTTTTTGTGGCATCTCTCAGGAGGTGTGTGTCAGTAGCAGCCCCCCCCCCCCCCCCACGTGGATGCCGCTTTACAGTCTCTGGGTTTAATACACATTAAGTAAGTGTTTGGCCTGCACAAAAGCCACCCTCTGACTTCTTCACACGTCTGATGCAATTGTGTACTTACATGGGACAAAGGTAGAAGTGAGTGCACCCACCCATCGCTCTCTGTGTATTAATCTCTGGTTGATGTACTGGAGTATACTGGGGAAGAGGGCAAGGACAAAATCAGAAGCAAGGAACTCAAATAAAGGAACAAAGTGAGAGCACAAACACACACCTGTCCAACACTAGATTGCCGTCATTGTACCGCAAACTTGTCCACATGTCCCAGAACTCAGCATCTGTGGGCTGTGTGTATGGACCGAACACTTCTCCGATCCTGAAAACAAACAACACAATGTATAACTCCACACATTGGCACACAGACATATTTCTCTCACTGCAGAGCTGAACTCCTTACCCCTTTTTGAAGATCATATAGTTTGTGAGACGTGTTAGAAGTGGCGCCAGAAAAGTGGAGTCCTTCAGAAGCTTTTGGAGACAAAGCAACAAGAATGTCTCGCAGAACTTTGATGGCCAAACAGCTTGACAAATTCATCATCATCATAGTCCCACCTGACCTGAAAAGTGACTCACCCTCTGCAGCAGCCGTGGGTAGTGTGTTTCTGGGAATAGTCCTGTTGGAAACGAGAGTGTCAGCACGATCTGTGTCCTTCACAATAAAGCAATCACACTTGGGCAAAGTCTACCTATTAAAATATGTCAGTGAGGGCTGCTACTAATAATTCATAGAACACAAAGTCAAGTCTTCAAATTGCTTATTTTGACTGCTAAACAGTTAAAAAACCAAAGATGGTCAATTTACAGTGACATGAAAACACATAAAAGCAGATTTAGAAGCTAGATCCAGAAGATGTTTGCTTAATGAATTTCAATATCTATTTCTTGGCATTAAATGGACTTCATTAAATTTCATCCATCCATCCATCCATCCATTTTCCTCCGCTTATCCGGGACCGGGTCGCGGGGGCAGCAGTCTAAGCAAAGATGCCCAGACTTCCCTCTCTCCAGACACTTCCTCCAGCTCCTC